GAAGGAAGGAAGGAAGGAAGGAAGGAAAAGAGAAAAGGGAAGGGAGGGAAGGAGAGGGAGAGAGAGAAAGAGAGAGAGGGAGGGAGGGACTGAGGAAAGGAGTGGGAGGGAGGAAGGAAGGAGGAAGTTGTATGTGCTGTGGCATACTATAATCAAAGCAGTTTCTCTACCTCAAATATCACACAAATTTACAATTCTTTGATTTATCAGATCATACATATCCAAATGGATTAAGCATCACTAGAACAGTCTGAAATAGAACAAAACTCACTAGTGAGCACCCTTCAGAAAACCCCACTTGGAAACACGCAAGTCCCACAGCATCTGAGGCATTTATGATTCTTATGTGGTGTTTGAATCCATTCTGTCTATAATGTTACTTTCACGTGGTCCCCGAGTTACTGATGTGTCCCACAGATTGACAAAGGAAGAGGAAAACTAATTCCCATTGACCGAATGCCTGCAATTTACATTATGCTGACGGTGGTGATTTTCAAAACGGTGGCCCCCCCCCGATCAGTGTAATTCTGTATCTTACAATATACAACCAGGTGAATAGATCTTACTTTGTGTTGGCATGATAAAAAGTGATTGCTTCGACAATGTTTTTGCAGGAATTATCCTCATTTCCAAAAACAATCTATGGTATCATTACCTTTCTAGGGCGACCTCACGAAGCATCCAGAAAAGCAATTTCCCAAAGCAGAGCTTTCATTTACCCATTGGGTATAATTACTGTAATAAAAATTTATTACAGAAAATGTGCAAAAAGTATGCCCAGCTTTTCTTTAGAACGCCAGTAGGGGAGAGGTATAACAAGTCATTTACGTCTACGTTAATTTTGTTACTTTTTACTAAGTGCCAAGTACGTGAAAAGAATTGTTTTCTATACTAAGAACATATGGGATGAAGTTTTTAAAGCGATACGCACATACACCCAAACCTAGATGGCAAGTAACATGTGACCATACTGCCATGCTCCCCAGATGTCAACTGTCTGTTCAACCCTATGTTCACCGGTTTAGGGAGACAAAGTTCTTAACAAATTAAGACAATGCCTCTCCAAGAGCTTGCATTTAGTTAAAACTCGAAAGTATATAGTAAGGGGCGCCTGGGTGGCTCAGTCAGTTAAGTGTCTGACTCTTGATTTCAGCCTAGGTCATGATCTCACAGTGATGGGATCAAGCCCCACGTGGGGCTCCATGCTGAGCACAGAGCCTGCTGAAGATTTTCTCTTTCTCTCCCTCTCTCTCTGTCAAAAAAAAAAAGGTATATAATAAAAACTAGGGGAATTGCTGTCGGGAACAATGGAACTAATGAGAAATAAAAGGCATATGGAATTTTTATATCTAAAAGGAACTACGTACAACTGGCCCAACCACGCCATCTTTAAAAGATTTGAAAAGACCCCATGATGCTCGCCAACTTGCCTAAATTACAAAATCAGGCCTTGAGCAAGACCACCAATCGACTGCGGTTTTAATCAGTGGAGAATATGAGACAGGAACTTGGTCCTAATCGCAAATTTGGCGTATTAAAAAAAAAAATCCCTCCATCCTCCTGTTTAACTTAGGGAGAGGGATTACGACTAGAGTCATAAGATGAGCAGAAAGCGAATGTGACCTGTTTCTCTTGTGGTGCCCTCACATAAGGGGCTTTTAGTGAGCCAGAAGCAATCTTAACAACCCGGAGAATGTATACAACTTGAGAGAAAGTCACTCTTTTTTGCCAAGCATTTCCCATTTTAAAAAGCCCAGGGGTTGGGGCGTCTGGATGTCTCAGTCGGTTGAGCGTCCGGCTCAGGTCATGATCTCGTAGTTCATGAGTTCGAGCCCCACGTCGGGCTCTGTGCTGACAGCTCAGAGCCTGGAGCCTGCTTTGGATTCTGTGTCTCCCTCTCTCTCTGCCCCTCCTCCACTCATGCTCTGTCTCTCTCTCAAAAATTAAAAAAAAAAAAAAAAACATTAAAAAGAAATAAAATTAAAATAAAATAAAATAAAAAGTCCAGCGGCGCTTGGGTGGTTCAGTGGGGTAAGCGTCCAGCTTCGGCTCAGGCCACGATCTTACGGTTTGAGGTCAAGCCCCACATCGGGCTCCGTGCTGGCGGTTTGGAGCCTGCTTGGTATTCTAGCTCTCTCCTCTCTCTTTGCCCCTTCTCCACTCACGCTTTCTCTCTTTCTCACAAAATAAATAAACTTAAAAAAAAAAGTCCAAAGAAAGTGGAATACTGTCGTCTCCCCCAATAAGCCACATATTAGAAGATGTTCTGAGACTGCATATCCCAAGACCCATCAAAGGGGCAAGTGTCCATTCTTTTTAACTTTGGGTGAAAACTCATGAAGAACTGCCATTCCTTTTGAAGACAGAAGGCTGATATCCCCAAGACCACTTTTCGTTTTAAAATACCGAATGTTAAAAATATACACGTGTGTTTTTGCGCTTCAATCTTCGCTAACAGAAAAGTCGTAAAGGGCAGCCCTCGCCTCCCTTCGCCATCCTTCCTTTCACCCCAGCACACCGGGGAGAAATCGTGACAGAAGGGCAGCACCACTGGCCGGGACACATCCCTGTAACAGCGGGCTGGGACGATTTCCCAAAGTGGGTCTGCATCAGCTCCTCAGAGCTCTCCTGTGCCCCATTCACCAACTTACAGGAATGTTTTAATGAGCCAGGTGAACTGACTTGGTAGAGAAGCATTGCTCTCACTGATCCCACAATCCCTGAACTAATCCGCTTCTCATTTCCCCCATCGGCTCCCCTCACCGGTGTGTCACCGCCGTTGGCTCCGTCCTACAAATGGTCCCTATCCCAGCAAGCAGCAAACAGCAAGCAAGGAGAGGCTTCTGTCCCCCAGATCTGACCCTCCATCATGGCCTCTGGTCTGTTCCCTGGGAGTTCACCTGCCCCCGCCCCCACCATCCCCAGCTCCATCACCACTGACCTCAGAAACTCCCCCTACTTAGCTGATACAGTTTCCAGAATTCGCAGCCCCACACTCGTTCATTTCTCAGCCTCTTCGCTAGTCTGTGACAGCAGTAGCAACAGTTAACAGTTAAAAAATGCCTGCAATAGGTCAGGTGTTGTGTTCACATTTCTGTCCACATTATTTACTCCTCTGAATAATCTGCAAATTAGCTATACATGTATGTCTACGCCCATTCATTCGTGGTCCAACCTAATTTGACATCTGTTCATTAAATCAATTTTTATGGAATAGCTATCAGGAGCCATATACTCTGATAAGCTCTGGATAGAGACGAATGAGACACGAGGTCCAAATAACTCTCAATAATAGGTACGCAGGAAGCTGAGGCCCTGGAACGTCCAGTGACTTAGCTAAGGTCACATGGCCTTGTCATGAGTCAGAATCTGAGACCCAGGTCTGTTTCCCAGCCCACATTCTTTCTCTACCACGCCGGCTCTCCGTGGACCCCAAATGAGTTCAGCCCAAGCTCGTGCTAATAATGCCTTTCAGCCCCTCACTCCTCGGGAAATTCAGAGAACAAGGCAGCCTGTCCACCAGCAAATCTCAACCCTCCACTTTCTACAGATCCACGTCTCAATCAAAATCCTACCTCTTCACTATGAAAATCTTAAGCCCCCAGTTTCCACGCTCCCTGAAGGCCGGAGGCTTGAAGGTAAGAGTCGCCGACAAAACAACCTGTAGATGACTTCCTGTCCTAAAATGAAGTAGCAGAAAGCTAACCGGTGGATCAGCCTCTGTCCACACGGCTGCTTTGAACGTGCAGACAATCCCCAACAGGGCGTCTTTTTCCACTGGTAAAAGAGACCGAAAACGTGGCTCCCACATACCTTCTGAAAACCCTTTGATTTCGTTTCCCTTACATATAAATCTGCCCCAGAGCTCATCCAGAAAATTAATGTTAACGACCATAACTCAACCAGACCAACTCAACCTGGTAACATTTCCCCAAATTCTTAGGAAGGGAGGCTTCGTGGAGACGGAAGGCAGGATAGAAACGTAAAATCTGCTGTTGGCAGCTGTGCAGACGTAACTTTGTTTTTGCCGACAGAATGAGTGTGTGTGCTGAAGGCTACACTAAATTGTGTCTTTCTGTTCATTATCTAAAATTGCTTGAAGCAGCTGGAAACGTGAGGAGGTACTTCTCCGGAGCATCTCACACGACAAGCTGGGTGCAGCGGCATGCAGATCACTCACAGGAAAAATATCTGCTCAAGAAAGAAGCATGTGCGCAGCTCGCCAGATCAGTAGGAAAACAAATGTGTTTCTGAAAACGATCGGGCTTTTGAAACTCAGCGCAGCTAAGCGACCTTTGCAAGAGCTCCACTCTCTTACCAGTTTCAGATCCTTGGAAGACAACTTCGTGAACCACTGGTTGTACTCCAGAGCAGCAATGATGGGTATCAGGTCCCTAGAGGCAGAAATAACAAGACACGTGAAAGCACTTTTAGGACAGCCATATTGGCACTTGACTTTCAACCTGTGACATCCAACTTTACTTGTTCGTTTCTATCATTCAAAGCACAGCCTCCAGCTGCAATGACTTCCACTGCTAGACAACGGTTAAAGTCTGCAGGACAGATCTTCACGTCTGTAAGCAGAATTCCTAAAGGCTGGCGTTAAATCACTTCGAGGGACTTTGATGGCTGTATCCGGAGGAAAAGAGACCTGTAGAGCGTGTGCTCGGAGACCTTCCTTGCTCTAAGAGAAACTGTACGTCTAGTTCTCTATTAGCAAGTCTCTACCTTTAACCATCAAGAATGTCATATACAGTTCACCTCTGACCAATATGGCTTCGAACTACATGGATTTATTTAATAAAAAAATACACTATTCTGAAGGTATCTTCTCTTCTCTATGACTTCCTTAATAACATTTTCTTTCCTCTAGCTTACTTTATGGTAAGAACATATAATATATGAAAATATGTGTTAAATACTTAGGTTATTGATAAGGCTGTCGGTCAACACTAAGCTATTAGTGCTTAAGCTCTGGGGGATTAAGCTTGGGATTTTCTACTGCGTGGGAGAATCAGTGCCCCAGCCCCCACTCTCCCACCACTGTTAAGAGTCAACTGAACTCTCCAGTTTATAATGCAAGCAAGGACACTGTCTAGCCTTGTAGATAATAAGTGACCCTGAATGGATCCCCGAGGCTTAGCAAGCATCCTACAACCATTTGGAACTTTCCCGTAGTTCCTGATGCTGATGACACACATGAGACAGCCCAGGTGCATTTTTGTCTCATGCTTCCCACAAACTCTTCAGCCACTGAAGGAACTATGTGCTTCAGAGAGCCACCTGCATCGTGTTTTTCCAGCTTGATCCCTCCTACAACATGAGCCCCTAACTCATGCACAAGGCAAGAAGCAGACAATTCACTGCTCATCAAACACACCATACAATTTCACGGTCGGAAGCATCTTTCAGTGCTGTGTTCACCTAGGAACATCCCTGCACCCTTCGACACATATATCACACATCTCCTGTCTGGGCTCCCCTGGGCCACCCCAGCCAGCACCCTGTCCGCATCTCTACTTAGCATTAATTTTATTCTGCCTCGGAGTCATTTTATTCTGCCTCTGTATTCAACATTTGTTGCCCACCACCCCCAGGCTGTAAGTTCTATGAAAACCAACTCTCTCTCTTCCAGTTTCAGCCAGACCATAACCAGTGTCATCCTCCTGGCGTGACACCTGGCAAACACTCAAACTGTTGCTGAGACGGAAAAGAAAGGCAGAAGGTGGAGAGAGTGGCAAAATCCACATTATTTCACAGCCTCTGCGTACCGGGCCCTGTGGCAGGCACACTACTCAGGCTATCTCATTTAACCATACGTCTGGCTTCGTCAGACATGCTTTAAAAAGGAGGGGCGCCTGGGTAGGGCTCAGTCAGTTGAACATCTGACTTCCACTGAGGTCGTGATCTCACAGTTCATGTGTTTGAGCCTCACGTCGGGCTCTGCGCTGACAGCTAGGAGCCTGGAGCCCGCTTTGGATTCTGGGTCTCCCCCTCTCTCTCTGCCCCTCCCGAGCTTGCTTGCTTGCTCTCTCTCTCTCTCTCTCTAATTAAAAAAAATAAATAATAAAGGAGAAACAAGTCCCTGCAGGTAGGCGAGAGAAACAATGCAAAAAAAAAAAACAAAAAACAACTCTCAGTCACGTGGTTCCATATGCCATCTGTCCAACAGAAGAGCCTCTTTATCAATTTTTGCTTAAGTTTCAGATTTAAAACCATGAACAGCAACCCTTCCCATAGGTCTTCACTCCCGTCCCTGCTCCCCACGGACCGCGTGCCAGAGTCAACGCCATTTGCTCCCCCTGCGATCTGGGGACAGTCGCTTCTCTGACGGCAAATGCCGGCTTATCACACACTTGGTTCAGGGGTTCTCCCTGTACTTATCCATTCAGGAGCCACGGCGGCTCCTTCTCATCTTATTTCCTTGTGTGGATTTAAGGTCAAGCAGGGATGACACTTCAGAACCTCTTTATTGTGTGTGCTAGTCTGTCACTTGATTTGAAGGACAGCTGGCTTTTGTCATAACGAAGTCGTTTTCAGGAACCGAAGAGCACATCATTTATAGAAGCAGGTTTTACATTGTCACAGGGGGCAGGACAGCATCAGCTCTAAAACGACATGCAAAAATCCTGAAAAGGCAGACTGAAGTCCACAAGCGAAGGGAGAAGAATCCAGCCAGAGGAAATGGTCGACAGAGCAAGGTACGCCTTAGTCAGAGATTTTAGATCCGACACCAAAAGCATGATCCACAAAAGGAAAAATTGATAAATTGGACTTCACCTGGTAAAGTGGAAAAATCAGTTTTTCCTTGGCAAATATTTGCACATCACGTTTCTAACGAAGAACTTGATATCAGAATGTATAAAGAGGTTAATGATAAGAAACAACCGAGTTTTTAAAAATAAGCAAAAGAGGTGAGCCTGGGTGGCTCAGTCGGGTAAGCGTCCGACTTCAGCTCAGGTCATGATCTCGCGGTTTCGTGGGTTCGAGCCCCACGTCGGGCTCTGTGCTGATGGCTCGGAGCCTGGAGCCTGCTTCGGATTCTGTGTCCCCCTCTCTCTGCCCCTCCCCCACTGATGCTCTGTCTCTGACTCTCAAAAATAATAATAATTAAAAAGAGTTAAAAATAAGCAAAAGATTTAAAGAGATACTTCACCAAAGAAGATATATCAATGGCAAAGAAGTACATAAAAAGATGTCTGAAATTATTAACCATTAAAGAAATGCAATTTAAAGCCAAAACAAGATGCCACTCCAAACTTAGTGAATCGCTAAAATTGAAAACGAAAAAATGCCAAGCGACTGGAACCTCATACGTTGCTGATGGGAATCCTAATGGCATACTTGGTGTGGAAAACAGTCTGACAGTGTCTATGATATTCAATACACGCTGACCGTAAGATCCAACAACCTCAATCCTAGATACTCAACCAAGAGAAATAAAAACGTGTACTTCCACAAAAACTTATATGTTACTGTTTATAACGGCTGTATCCATAATGGTCAGACACTGGAGACAACATGGGTATCTTCCACCGATGCTGGGGGACTTCCAAGGCGAGGTAAGAAAAGGCAATAATATGGCGTCTGCTTAGTTCCTTCTGATAGGTTCACCCATGGAATCCAGCCGCCCTGCTCTGAGAAAGGCCAGGCCACGTGGAAGTGTCCCAGCAGACAGCCAGCATCAACTACCAGACCCGTGAATAAGGAAGCCTTCAAGATGGTTCCAGACCCAGCCCATATCTGACTGTAACAGCTGGAAAGAGCCCAAGCAAAAACCACCTAGCGGAGCCTAATCAAGCCCAGAGCTGTGACGGACAATTAACAAGGGACGGCTCTTGCTGTAGTCCATTACGTTTGGAATGGTTCGTATATAGCAACAGATAACCAGAACACTTAGTATCTAGAAATAAGGCTTGAAAGCGAAGGGAACATGACTGTTGACAGGGTGACCATTACAAAGCTTTTAAGCAGAGAAATGTTTCAGGAAGTTAACAATTTCAGCAATGTAGGCAGGATGTATCAGAGGAAGGTAACAATTTTCATTATGCAGGCAAGAGGTACTGGGGAGAGGAGAGAAGCCTGAGGCAGAAAGCAGGTACAGAGGCTAGCTAGAACAAGAGCCAAGGCAAAATAATATTTTTTTCTGAAATTTATTAAAGACTTAATACAACCCCAGGGGCGCCTGGGTGGCTCAGTCGGTTGAGCGTCTGACTTCGGCTCAGGCCATGATCTCACGGTTGTGGGTTCGAGCCCCGCATCAGGCTCTATGCTGACAGCTCAGCGCCTGGAGCCTGCTTCAGACTCTGTGTCTCCCCCTCTCTCTGCCCCTCCCCCGCTCATGCTTTGTCTCACTCTGTTTCTCAAAAATAAGTAAATGTAAAAAAAAAAAAAAATTAAAAAAATTAAAAAAAAAATAAAGACTTAATACAACCCCAAATGAAACAAGCACACTTTTGTAACGCAACTACAAAGAAACACAAGGACTGTTAGAATAACTGTTCCATCAGGTAAGGTAAGAGTGCAGGGGGAACCATGACTGAAAATTGACTTATTAAAGTCTTCTTCGAAGAGGCAATAGACTGTTTCTCGACCTCAAGGGCGGACACAGTGGTTGACTTTACCATTATTTGCATTCTGGTACACGGAACGGCAAACTTTTCTCTAAGTAAACAACTGTAAGAATGGCCTCAACAGCATTACTCAACCTAGTCATTAAGCTAACCCAAATATCCAATTAACCGCAGAATGGATAACTTGTAGAATGGTCACACATCAGAATACAAAACGGAAGCAAAAGTAAATAAACTATAGCTACATACAACACTATGTAAAATCTCAATTTCTCAGGTCCAAAGCTTCTCTCAATCTGCCTGGACCGTGCAGAGAATGGGGAGCTTCAAGTCTGAGAAGCAAGCATCCAGGAACCACTTCAGCAAACACAGAGAAAAGTCAAGGTCTGAACTGAGTGACACTCGGGATTCCTAGAATCTGTCACTCTCAGAACATCTAAGCCGTCGGGACAGCCACAACAGAGGCCAAGGCTCCAGGAGACTCGGTCTACATATGACAATCTATCACCAATAATGATCAAAACTGGTACATCTCACCTCCACAGAAAAATACACAAGACAAGATGTAAATAATTTCATTCCCGAGAGTTCATTTTCCTGGATGGCTTTCTCAGAACACAGTAATAAGCGATCAGATAAGCAAACAGGATAACTCCTGATTCACGCGGGCCTCCCAACCCCTGTGCCGGTAACACCTCACTGCCGAGAGCTCCCTGGACCTTCCTCGGTGGGGTCTGTGCCAATCAGAACCAACCCTTCCTCGTGTTTTCACTAAGGCACCCCGGGGGTTACACTACATGATGTAGAAAGGTTTCCAAACA